AATATCTCTGTCACTTTGTAACCGGATCGCAGAAGAATTGGGTGAAGCTTCTGGATGATGCTCAACTGTGTTTCAATTCACAAAAGAGCTCTAGTACAAACAAAAGTGCTTTTGAAATTGTTACCGGACAGCAACCGCTACTCCCACACACAGTCAATGCACCAAATATGTCTAAATCTCCTCGAGCTGCTAGCTTCTCAAAAGAGTGGAAGCAAAATTTGGAGATAGTGCGGAGCTATCTTGTCAAGGTTCAAAAGCGGATGAAGAGGCATGCTGATCAGAATCGTCGCTTTGTTGAATACCAAGCAAGAGACAAAGTGATGGTCAAAATTCCAAAGCGTTACTTATTTGAGGGGGTCCATGACCCTCGCCTATTGCAAAAATACATTGGACCCTTGTCCATTGAAAGGCGCATTGGGAGAGTTGCATACCGGGTGGATACCCCAGCTTGGTGGAAAATTCATCTTGTCATCCATGTCAGCCTCCTGAAACCTTTTCGGGAAGACACAGAGGATCCTTCACGGAGCCAGCTCACAATAGCAAGTATTTGAGGGCCCAATTAAACCAGGAAAAAGCGTGTTGAAACTATCCTTGATGATAGAGTGATTCATGCCTTAAGGAAAGATCACCAAGAGTTCTTAGGGAAATGGCAGGGCTGTGATACAGAGGAGAACACTTGGGAGAGGGGAACAAACCTCAAAGCCTACAAGAGACTAATTGAAGATTATCTTGCAAGTAAGGCACCGAGGACGTCGCCAACTTAGGTGGGGGAGAATGTCATGGGCGGCTTTCCAGCCGTGCCCCATGACCCCTTGGGCGCGCCCCGTGGCGTCCTAGCAAGCCGCCCAATGCCTAGCGCCACGGACGGCCCCATGGTCTTGGCCACGCCAAGTGACAAGCACGCATGTGCCTCTGTCTCCCCACCGATATCCCTCGCCAGCGCCCAACCGCAAGCGGATGCCAACAGCGCCGCGTGCGCAGACCCTGATGCCAAAGTTTATGCTGCTGACAACGGACCTGTTTCTGCCTTATAGAAAACTAAGTCTTTTTCATTGTAAATATAAAGTAATTTTATTCCATGTACTTCCACTATGTTTCTCTAGCTTAATCAAGTCTAGTCTTGTAGCTTTGGTTTATTTTTTTTAAGTATTATTAGGGGGGATCAAACAATCAAACTTTCTAGCAAGCAAACAATTCTCTGTACTGGTGTCTCTCCCCCTCGACACTGCATTGCCTCTCTGTAATAGCTTTCAATAATGCAATCAAGCTTTCTTTTATTCTCAATCCTCATTTCTGTTCTCTCAATTGCTCTTGACATTGGTTTTTCCGTACGGCACTGACAATCTAGTCTAGCGTACGGAGGGGACTTCAGTTGGTGGACAGTAACTGCACTGACATCAGTTGCTTAGCCTTACGTCACCCTTCCAAGGAATCTCAGGAAGGCACCGCGTAACAGTAACCATGAAGTAATACAAGATATTGAATCAGACGACAATGTTGGAATAAATCCTTTCCAAACAACCATACAACAGAATACCCACAAGTTAAAGTATTTGCAATCAAGAAAAATGTTCAAAAGATATATCATTCAGTTATCTCTACCATTTTCATCACAACAGAATAAAGTATGAAATTTGTAGTGCAGCAGTCCCGTCGAGATATTCATATTTTATCTACATTTCATTGGTTTAAGAACTGTAGTCTTAAATAAATAAATACGAACTAATAAGAACATCCTTAAAGAAATAAGAAGAGCACTCTCTGCCATATTGGAGTGAGATATCCATACTTTATACTACTATTTGTTGGTTCAAGTCTATTTTATATCTTACAACACACCTTATCCAGAGAGGAGATAATTTTTTCGAGATTGTTCTTAATACTAATAAGTCAACATGAAAATTGTAGGGATTATAAAGAAGAATCTCTTGGAGAAAGTAAGCAAATGGAGACAACTAGAATGACCATATAAAACAACGAACAAAATCAAGAACTAACACAACTACAACTTTATAATTATATTTCTAATTTTTCTTTCTTAAACTTTCAGAGCCTCACAGTTGCTTTCAACAATAAAGGAGGTCAAGAATCTAGCGCCAAGGGTTCTGAATTCTAAAAACGAATCTTGTTATTCTTAACAATCAAACATTTTCATGTTAATGGTTCGTTATTCAACTTCATAACTAGCAATTTATAATTTAGTAACACTAAATAATAACTTTCAAAAGAATAATAATATCACAGATATTATATTGAATAAGTTCACAAATGACATACTCGTGACCTGATTTAATTGGTTTCACCACAAAAAATTGTATTTGGAGACAACAAACAAAAATACACATCTACAAATCAGACATTGAGATTCTAGGAACAAAGTGATGCTAAGTAGATTTTTTATCCAATTGAGAAATCAAGAAAGGAATATCCAAATTCATCAAAATCTTTATTTAAATATTAACGCCAAATAAAATTTAAGTATTGTCCATATATAAAGAAATCGGTTGCTGACCTGAAAATGTCTTAATGGAGTGAAGAAGATAATTGTTGTTCATCTATGTAATTTTCAAGCCCTAGAATTTTGCCAGCTGAGAGAGAGAGAGAGAGGAGGGAGATGAAGCAAGGTAGAGAGTAAATTTTGGGCGAATGTAGAAGATGAGCCTAAAAATTGAAATTAGGTTTCGAAGTAAAGAGGGAACGTGGGTAAAATTTGGGGGGAAGATGAAAAATTAATAAAATGTGGCTTCCCGGCATAACGTTTACTGGCCACTCATTTCAGTTTCCAGTATAAGAGGATTCATCGTTGGCTATTACTAATTTGCCGGTAAATTTTGTGCTTAAAATAATAAATTAGCAGCAATTAGTCTATTGCCACTAAATATTAGCCGGTAAAAGAAATTTTTGTGGTAGTGTTCTACGGGATCCTCACCGGATAGTGAAGCTATAGGTGAGGTAGAATAGGCATTGTCACTGCCCACAGCTGAGCCCTCAAATAACTCAGAAGAAATTTGCATTGATGCTTGGGCAGTAGGGGTGCCAGGAGGTGGATCTATCAATCTAGTCCTCTCCGACCAGTCAGGAACATATTCTGGCGTGGAGTCGGAGTCGGACCTCCTGGGAGGGCATATACTCACTTTCCGACTGGGAAGCAGCTCTATCAGCGGCCCTTATGATTCTTCTGGTGTCCTTGATAGCTTGTCGGGCTTGTGGGGTCAATCTAATCATGCCTCATACCCTAACCCGGAAGGACTCTCCTTTTCCTGACTGTTTATCACCTCTGCCTCGTGATTTCACCATTATCTACAAGGAGAATGCATTCTATTCTTGTTAGTATCCCAATATCAAATGAAGCAGTGCAGAATAAAATTGCATATAGTTGAAAATAAAAAGCAGAATTGCAGACTGCGGACCGCACAAAATAAAGTGCAGCCCCAAAGAAGCTACCGCGGTCCGCATTGAGGTGGCGGTCAGACTACCCACTCTCTAATGCCAGGCATCGCGGACTGCACAAAATGGCATTGAGGTTCGCATTAAGGAACCGCGGACCGCACAAACCGCGGCCACGGTCCTTAACTTTCAACCTTTCTAAAGCTATACCATTGCGGTCCGCACAAAATGGTATTGCGGATCGCAGAGAAGCACCGCGGATCACACAAAATACCATCACGGACCGTTGTAACACAAGAACAGTAATACCAACTTAGGGTTTCAAATATTCGTCTCAATTTTAGCCTAAAATCATATATTATTGACCCCCCTAGGTGTTTAATCAGTGTTTTGAACTAATTAGCCCTAATTTAAATATTATTAAGCAAAATCTATGCAACAATTTAAAGATCATGGAAGAAAAAGAAGAAAAACTAGCTAATTAAAAGAAAATAATAAGGTTAAAAACTAAGGGGGAAAAATTAAGATTACCAGTTAGTGAGATGTAACACAGATGATTGACAATAGATTGTAATTTGTGCAATTAAGGCTTGCATGAACAGTACTTTTTTTACTATGGAGAGCAAAGGATCGAAAAGTTTGAACTGAGGGCCTCAGGCCCTATTTCTAGAAAAAGGACTTGGGGCCCACTTCACCTACCCACCGCGGATCGCACAAAATGGCATTGCGGTACTCAGAAACAAGAGGCACTGGGGAGACGTCCACTACAAGCCGCACGAAATGCAATGCGGCTGTAGTGGTCCACCACGGACCACATAAAATACATTGCGGCTGTGGTGGAAAACTTCAGAGAACCCCATTTTTTTACCAATCAACTTTGCGGACCGCATTGAAATGTTGCCCCCGCACTAAGGCTTTTGCGGCCGCACAAAATGCAATGCGGCCACAGTGCAAACTTCAGAGAGTGTGCAATTTTCCAACTTGGTCTTGCACTGCATCAAAACAATCCTACAACATCTCACAACCAGTTAGTCCAAAAGCAAATCCTATACTACAAAGAAAATAAAAGAAAAAAAAAACAAAAAGAAAGACACGTGGGTTGCCTCCCAAGAAGCGCTTGATTTGGAAGCACTCGATGAGCCATCCTTTGAGGTGGCGGGAGAGGGTCTGGAATATTATCATTGGCTGGCGGCCTCTCCTTTGTCCTTGGGTTACAATAGGAACCTCGTAATCAATATTGTCATCTACCTTCTCCCCCGACGAAAGATTTCCAAGAGGTGCAATTGTTTGCTACCATTTTGTGCTTGAAGTTGTGATACATACAAATTAGTAACACAGAAAGAAAGAAGAATAATACATAAAACTATACAGATAGATAGCCAAAACCGTTAGCTCCCCGGCAACGGCGCCAAAAAGTGATCGGGGTCAACCCTACACCACTACGGAGTGGCGAGAGTAGTCGAAGTAGTTTTTACCCGAGATGGTTGGGATCGAATCCACAGGGAGCTAGAAGTGGGAATTGGATTCCTATCTAAACTAGAGATGCGTATGTTCTTAATTACTCTTCCAATCATTTTTTAGTTGGATATTACTTCTAATATTTGTGTTATTGATAAGCTAAATTAAACTAAGAATGATTGCTTGTAGGGTTTTCTAATTAGTTAAAGAGGCACTAGGGACGTGACTTTCTCCTATGTGAATACTTGATGGGATCTAAAGCCTAAGGCAAAAACGTTATGTTGGAGATTGTAATATAGCCAATGCACGAATTTACTCACTTTATATCTCTCGGTAGCTTGAGTGACTTTGCCCTAATTGACTTTCTCAAGACCAATTGGGTGTCAAAATTGTGCAAGCAATCTAGGCTCAAGTTGGTTATTACTATCTCTAGGTTTAACCCTTTAATTGGGGCTATCAATCTCTTGATTACACTCTAATTCCTTGTTGGACTGATTTTTCTAGACTCAAACTCTCTTTCTCAAGAAGAGCCCAAGTCAAATAAGCACAAATTAGTGTTTGTAACATCTAATTCAATATAGAAAGCACAAATCAGTCCAAATATTAACTACCCATAAACATCTAAGCCTTAACTCAAAAGACTCATCAAATACTCACACTAGAGTTGAGCCACAATCCTAGCTAATGGGTCTAGATACTCATAATAATGAAAGAAAACAAAGAAATAGATGAAGAAGAACCCATAAAATTTAATTACAAGCTAATAATTGAAGATTCAATGATAAACCCACTATAAAATTACTCGAAATAGTTAAACACAACCGTTTACGAGCTCTGGTCAAAAGTAGATTACAAAAAAATGACCTAAAAATGGGAAAATAAATTATTTATACTAGGCTGAATTTTTTGGACAAAAATACCCCTGACGAGGTACTGCGGTCTGCACAAAATGCACCGCGGACCGCAATGAGGCTTCTTGGATTAAAACCCTGCTCTCTGAACTTGGCCACCGCGGGCCGCATAAAATGCACTGCGGCCGCGGTGGCATCAACTGCGGTTCGCACAAAAAGGACCACGGACCGCATTGGCAATTACCTCCAAAATCCCAACTCTTTGAACCCCATCTTTGCGGACCGCACAAACTTGATTGCGGCCGCGGTGAGGCCACTGCGGTCCGCACAAAATGCTTTGCGGCCGCAGTGCTTGAGGTTCCAAAATGTGCACCTCTCTGAATCTCCTCACTGCGGACCACACTAAATGGAATGTGGCTGCAGTTGATCTATTGCATTGTGGTTGGACTTGTTCTTGGTACTTGTGCATGTCTCACTCCTTTTTGAGCTGATTTTGACTAATTGTCGCCTTTTTGAACAAACCCTACAAACAACTAAAACATGTAAGCCTTTGGGACTATTTTGTATACACTTTTAATCACAACTCAAGTAAAAAGGAATGTAAAATGAACTAGAATCCCTAGTTATCAACCGTCAAGGGTCAATCTATTCCGCAATTTACGCCGTGATCTTCGGGTCGTTGCGGGTAGCTCGTTCTTTCTGTTACTGAATCATAATGGTATTATCTTGAGGTATGCCTTCTTCTGACCTCGGTAAATGATTTCGACCTCGACCTCGATATTGGAAAAGAGCCTCAACCCCGAGCTTGGCGTCCTGGCCTCTCAACGTGGTATCACCTTTTCCATCAAAAAACATAATCAGGTAACCCTGATTTCCACTGTATATAGATAGTCCCCTCATTTCTTAGAAGAAAATGATAAGAAACGACTTAAACCTTGATTTTCCGGAGGCCCTAATGATGACGTCATCTCTGTGACTTAAGCGCTCGAGGTGACCAAAACATCCTATCGGTTTGTTTCCCCAAAACATTAATTAATTGCTAGTGGCGGTCGGCCACTAGCGGCGCCGAACCGTCACTGTGTGCTTATACATACAGGGCTTCTATTTTAAATCAAAAACTTTGCTTCCACCTTCAAATTTTCTTGATTTCTTCTTCTCTTCATCTTTCTCTTTCAGTACCTGTTGATCCAACCCTTTTAGCACTAAAAAATATCAAACTCCACCTCTTTCCGCTTCCCCCAACCTGAATCAATTGCAAAAACCTCTAAAACCATTCCTCAAAATGAGAAAATTTCCTCCTATTCTTCCCGGCTAGCCGATGATAAAGCGCCGGCCCTTCATAAGATTGTTCCTGGCCCCTGTGTCACAAAGAATGACTTCATAGTCGAGAATCCTCCATCGATCCCTGGCCGATGCGAGCTCGTATCGAGATATATCTGCTCGATAATGGAGAAACACCTTGAGGCCATGAAGAGAGATTGTGGCTGGGGGGACGAGGTCGTGGTACAGACCCCCGCTCCCGAGGAGAGTATCACCACTTACGTGGAGCGGTACCTAAGTGTCTACACTTACCCCTTCAAACTCTGCACTTACAGAATTTCATCAAAATACCAGGTTCCGCACCGGTTCACATATACCCGAACCTGCGGATGCGCTTCTGCAATCCATCGTCCGCTTCTGCGGAAACATGGCTTCCTCCCCAAATCCGCTTCTGCGACCACTTCACCGCATCTGTGAATGCGTAGATGTGGCCCTCATCTCGCATCTGCGCTCACAGGCTCTTATGACCAAAAGTGCACATGTGACCATCTCCTTGCTTTTACGGGGCTGCACCTGCGGACTTTCCACCGCAAGTGCAAAAACACCAGAAACCAACAACTTCAGAATATGCACAAGTCCAATTTTCAATCCGTTAAGCACCTGAAACTTATCCGAGGCCCCCGGGACCTCAATCAAACAAACCAACCAATCCTAAAATACTATACAAACTTAGTCGAGCCCTAAAACCACCTCAAACAATGCTTAAATCACGAATAATTCTCCATTCAAACTTAAAGAACATAGAATCTCCAAATTCGACAACCGACGCAGAAACATATCAAACCACATCCGAATGACCTCAAATTTTATACACAAGTCATAATCAACATTATGGACCTAATCCAACTTCTGAAATCAGAATCTGACCCCGATATCAAAAAATCTAGTACCAGTCTAAATCTCCAAAATTTGACTTTCGCCATTTCAAGCCTAAATGAGCTATAGACCTCCCAAACACAATCCGGACATGCCCCTAAGCCCAAAATCACCCAGCGACACTAATGGAATTGACAGAACTCCATTGTGGATTTGTCTTCACAGAGTTCTGACTACGATCCAAATCCTAAGACTTAAACCTCCATTTAGGGACTAAGTGTCCCAAACACTTCCAAAAACCAACAAGAGACCTCCTTGAAAGTCACAATAGCAAGAATAGACATGGTGAAAGAAGTTAATAAGGGATCAGGGCTCTAACTCTCAAAACGACCAGCCAGGTTATTACACATCTTTTGCTATGCATGTTATACTCTTGCCTCTATTTTTAGCCATGTTGTGTGCA